ATGAGTATATATTATGTATATTACACATATATTATGTAACATATAATATAATATACATGATATATATTATATGACTATATATAAATATATATGACTATATATGCGTGTGATGCCTATAACTTTGTTCATTTCCTGAATGTTCATGTGGTACCAAGTGTTCATATGTAGAAAGGAGAAAGACTGACAAGGGTCTAATTAAGCAAATGGGGAAGGTGGGAAAGGACAAATATGGCAGCAGTGTGTGTCTTGCCTGCTCCTTCCTGGAGAAAAACTGGTCCAAAGCTTCCCTCTTCTGTTGCAGGGATCCTGACCACTGGGTGGGCCAGCCTCACAAACTCCAGCCACCCAATTTCTAGGGGCACATCTGGCAGAAAGACGATGGGAATGGAATATTGTCTCTACGGAGAGAGCTAACCTACTTGATGGGGGCACTGGACCCGGAGGTACAGTGCCCTGGGCACAGCTGGACTTGGATGGTTTCCTACAATTCTCCTCCAAGGAACCAGTGAGGCCCAGCACAAAGCACTGGGGAATAGACCCTGGGTGCGCCAGGGAAAGGGGACCAATTTTTCACAGCCAAGCCAAGCAAGGCAGAGATTTTGGGAGAACCAAGAAAAAGAGCCCATGGAGGTGCCCCTCCATCTGACTACGGGAAGGCCCCTGGGCCTGGTGCTTGCTGCATCTGCCAGGAGCTCTTCTGCCGGGGGCCGGCGGGGGAAGTGTGGACAAACAGGAAAGCTGAGGGGCACTGCAGTCAGAGATGGCCTCAGTCTTACCCTTCCAAGACCTTGTTGATCCACTGGATCGCAGCTCTCTTCTCTAAGTCAAGGTCTTCAGCAGTGACTCGATAACCTAGCTGGGGCGGTGGGGGCAGGATCAGTGGGTCATTTCGCCTCGACGACGGCAATAGAGGAATCTTGCGCTTCTGGGGCCTGGAACCATCAGATGGAGGTGAGCGATTCCTCAAACTTTGCTTCTGCCCAGAAGGTGCATCTGCAGCCTTTTCATTCCTGATCTTCCTTTGTGGTTCTGCTGAGGCTGAAGAGCTAGAATGATAGCTCTCGCTGGCTTTCTTCGTGGGCAGCCGGGGCTGGGATGAGGCTGGTACCCAGATCGCGGCAGCGCCTCGGCAGCATCTCTGCGGTGATGGGAAACCTCGAGTCGAGCTGTAAGAGCTCGTGATGGCATTGCGTTTGCTGCAGGAGCTCAAAAAGCAGGTGTGGGATTTCTTAATCAGGCTCTCTTCTAAGCTCGTGGAACAGAAGTCTCTCTTCAGAGGCCCAGGCCTGGGCACGAAGGCAGAGAGGACTCCGTTGACCATCAGCCGCCTAAACGCTGACTGCACGCTCCGGCTGCCCTCGGCACCTCTTCTCAGATCATCCTGCCTCTCGGGGCCTGGGTGCCCTTCCTCTGACTTTGCCGGCCCTTCCCTGCTCTCGACCAAGGAGGTCAGGTCCTTCTCTGCCTTGGCTCTCACTTGACCATTCTCTTCGAGGGCCCTCACCAAGGTCTCCCTTACACACAGATTTGGGAGGTGACCAGACAGTGAAGACCACATACAGATGACTGTCTGCTTCAGAGCCAAACGGAGCGTCAGTTTGCCCTTAGCCGATGCCATCTTCAGGATCACTGAGGTGCAGAACATCTTGGAGCTGCAAGCAGACAGCACTGGCTTCGGATGGCCGGTCTGGGGCACAGAGGAAAAGACCGTCAGAAATAAACACCGGGCCTGCTGGATTGGGTATTGCTGCCGATGGATTATGGCAAACCGCCGACGGTGTCGCCGCCGCCGCCGACGTGGTGAAGCCACAAGATCCTCATATGACAGCCTGCCAGCTACGTCCAGGGTCGAGGCCGCTGAGTGAACCCGGCCACCCCGGGGAACACCGCGGGCGGGGTGCGCGGGCCTGGGCCCGAGGATCTCGGTTGTCTCGGGCTGGTCCCCACCCAGCAGAGAAGAGGAGGGCAGCCGAGGGCGAGGCCGGCTCAGGTAATTGCCCATGAGGAGCAGTTCTGCAAGGTCGGATCCTTCAAATGGAGTCAGTGGCTCAGAGAGGTTTCCGTTAGCTGCCAAAGGGGCCCCAGGCAAAGCGCGCACTGTTAGGTGTGCCGCCTATGACGCGTCCTTGGAACGTGTGAGCAAAGAAAGGGGCGCGCGAGTACTGCACGAGGGAAGGGTGCGCGCACCCGGGGCGCTTCCCAACCCCTGCTTCCCATCGAAGGTGTTGGCACGAGGTAGACAAGCTCATTGCGGGCGCAGCCGCCCTTCACGCAGCCAGCCCCCAGCTCCGTTAGCGGACGGTACAGGACCGTCGTTCCAGAGCCCAAGAATCGCTCCAGGCTCAGGAGTGCCCACTCCAAGTGGGAGATTCAGAGTCAGCACCAGGCTCCACCCGTGCTTCCTCTCGCCCCCCCCGTACCCAGGGGTCAAGCAGCTCAGAGCCCGTGCTGCCCAGATCTTGAGGGATGGTACCTGAATGTTCAGGAGGCGGGAGGACCCCAAGAGGGAACTGACTAGGCATGAGATACCAGAGCGCAGTCGCTAATCTACCCTCTTTCCTTTCTCTAGAATTTTACTTTCCAAGTATTCCTTCCTGTCTCTCCCTCCCCTTTCCGAGGAAGCAAGGATTCTAGATACATTTTATAAAATCAGAACTTATAGACCCCCAAAGAGCCAAAGCAATCCTGAGAAAGAACAAAGCCAGAGACATAATGCTCCCTGATTTCAAACTATATTATTACAAAGCTATAGTAATCAGAACTGTATAGTATTGGCATAAAAAAGACAACTCAAAGAACACAATAGAAATCCCAGAAATAAACCCATGCATATAGGGCCAATTAATTCACAGCAAAGGAGTTGGTGTTGGGAAAACTGGGTAGCCAGATGCAAAAGAATGAAACTGGACCACTTTCTTACACCATACACAAAAATTATCTCAAACTGGATTAAAAATCTTAAACCTCAAAACTCCTAGAAGAAAACATAAAACATAGGTGGTAAGCTCCGTGACATCAGTCTTGGCAATGATTTTTTGGATTGGGCAGCAAAAGTAAACAAGTGGGACTATCAAAATAAAAAACTTTTTTGCACAGCAAAGGAAACACCAACAAAATGAAAAGACAACAAACTGAATGGTAGAAAATATTTGCAAATCATATCTTTGATAAGTTGATAAGAGGTTAATATCCAAAATATATAAAGAACTCACAACTCAATAGTCAAAAAATCCAATTAAAAAAATGGGGAGAAGATCTGTATAGATATTTTTCCAAAAAAGACATACAGATGGCCAACAGGTACATAAAAACATGTTCAAGGTCACTAATCATTAGGGAAATGCAAATCAAAACTACAATGATATATCACCTCACACCTGTTAGACTGGCTGGAATCAAAAAGACAAGAAATACCAAGTGTTGGCCAGGATGTGGAGAGAAGGGAACCTTGTGCATGAGCAGTATTGTGCATTGTTCCTGGGAATATAAATTGGTGCATTCATTATGGAAAACCATTTTAATTTAGTTTAAAAATTTTTATTTTATAAAACTGCCATATGATCCAGCAAACCAAAATATTTCTGGGTGTTTATCTGGAGAAAACAAGAACACTAATTTGAAAAGATTTATACACCCCCATGTTCTCTGCAGCATTATTTACAATAACTAAGATATGGAAATAACCTATATTTTCATCAATGGATGACTGACTGAAGAAAATAGGTATCTACACACAATGGAATATTTTTCAGCCATAAAAAAATAAAATAAAGTCCTTTTATTTGTGACAATATGAATGGACGTTGAGGGCAGTATGCTAAGTGAAATAAGTCAGTGAGAGAAGACAAGTACCATATGATCTCACTTACACATGGAATGTAAAATTTTAAAAAATTAAAATTAAAATTTAAAAACACTAAGCTTATAGATACATAGAACAGATTTGTGGTTACCAGAGGTGGAAAGTGCAGGGTGGGCAAAAGGGATGAGGGAAGCCAAAAGGCACAAACTTCCAGTTATAAAATAAATAAGTCATGGAGATGAGATGTACAGCATTGTGACTATGGTTAATAATGCTGCATTGCATATTTGGAAGTTGCTAAGCAACTAAATCTTTTTTTAAAATTTTATTTTATTATGTTATGTTAGTCACCATTCATTACATCATTAGTATTTGATGTAGTGATCCACGATTCGTTGTTTGTGTATAACACCCAGTGCTCCATGCAGTACGTGCCCTCCTTAATACCCATCACCGGGCTAACCAATCCCCCCTCTGCCCTCCCCTCTAAAACCCTGTTTGTTTCTCAGAGTCCATAGTCTCTCATGGTTCATCTCTCCCTCTGATTTCCCTCCCTTCATTTTTCCCTTCCTTCTCCTAAAATCCTCCATGCTATTCCTTATGTTCCACAAATAAATGAAAGCATATGATAATTGACTTTCTCTGCTTGACTTATTTCACTTAGCATAATCTCCTCCAGTCCCATCCATGTTGATGTAAAAGTTGGGTATTCATCCTTTCTGATGGCTGAGTCATATTCCATTGTATATATGGACCACATCTTCTTGATCCATTCATCTGTTGAAGGGCATCTCGGCTCTTTCCACAGTGGCTTTTGTGGACATTGCTGCTATGAACATTGGGGTGCATATGGCCCTTCTTTTCACTACATCTGTGTCTTTGGCGTAAATACCCAGTAGTGCAATAAAAGTTGTTTTCACAAGAAAAAAATTCCGTTACTATGTATGGAGATAGATATTAATTAGACTTTCTATGGTGATCATTTTGCAATATGTCCAAATATCAAATCATTATGTCATACATCTGAAACTAATATAATGTGATATGTCATTTATATCTCATTAAAAAAAAGTATCCATTCTATTAAAAAAATCAGAACTTAGAGGTAGCAACTTGATGTATTTTGAGACAGCCAGGAACAGTATTATCTGGGAACTAAAATTGGATTCCTGTTTTCAAGGTCATGTTTTACCATCACTTTAATCTTTGTTTTCTGCTCCTTAACATATCCTATGTGGGCCTCTGTGTCATTCTTTTTCAATAAGTCTGTGTCTGTAGGATAAGAGAGATGACCTGGCAATTCAAGGTAGAACTCAGAATTTAGCTCCCTGCAAACATTCTGACTGAAGTTAATATTATTAGTTCAGTGGTGAACACATTAGAATATTTAGACTACTGCAGAGTTTTTGATGTTCTCGTAATTACCCCCACTTCTTTTGTTGTTTTTAATCTTTTTGCCTTCATTGGGATTATTATCACTTAACGAATGACCGAAGTCATTTTATTAGGCCAGGTAGTTTTTCAAAGTAGTTATTACAGGGATTCCTGGGTGGCTCAGTTGGTTAAGCATCTGCCTTTGGCTCAGGTCATGATCCCAGGGTCCTGGGATCAAGCCCCTCAGTGGGCTCCCTGCTCAGCGGGCAGTCTGCTTCTCCCTCTCTTTCTGCTCTTCCTCCCACCTGCGCTCTCTCTCAAATAAATTAAATCTTCAAAGTAGTTATTACAGTCTGTACAGCTCTCAGCAAGCAGAAGGGAATACGAGTTTGTATAACCAATATCTAAAGGGCTGTACATTAATGAGATATACAAATGGTTCTAAAATCCAGGAGTTGGACTATCGTTTAAAGGTAACCCACTATTGTATTGAAGAAATAAATCTTAATTATAGACACATTAAAATAAAACATAATCATGTTTCTGTGATCCAACAAGTATCATATTCAATAATTCTTTTCAACCATTAAGTTTTTAAACAGCTTTATTGAGATATAATTTACACACCATAAAATTCACCTATATTAAGATTACACTTCAAGAATTTTTAGTAACTTTACAAAGTATGTAACTTTCACCAAAATCTAATTTTATAACATTTCCATTAACCCAAAAAGAAAACTTTTGTGCCTGTTTGCAGTCACTCCCCATTCTTACTCGCAGGCAACCACTACTATTCTTTTGTCACTATAAATTTGCTTTTTCTGGACATTTCATATAAACAAACTTTTTTTTTTTTAAAGATTTTATGTATTTATTTGACAGAGGGAGACACAGCAAGAGAGGGAACACAAGCAGGGGGAGTGGGAGAGGGAGAAGCAGGCTCCCCGCGGAGCAGGGAGCCCAATGTAGGGCTGGAGCCCAATGTAGGGCTCGATCCCAGGACCCTGGGATCATGACCTGAGCCGAAGGCAGACGCTTAACGACTGAGCCACCCAGGCACCCCCATATAAACAAACTCTTATAATGTTCTCTTTTGTGTCTAGTTTCTTTCACTTAGCATATTGTTTTTGAAGTTCATCTATATAATAGAGGTTCATCTATGTAGTAGTATGTATTAATACTTCATTATTGCTTTTTGGCTTAAACGGAAACTTATTTGCTCACAATTCTGAGATCAAAGTGTCAGCATAGTGGATGTCTTCTGTTGCCTCTCTCCTTGGCTTGTAGATGGCTGTTTCCCCCCAACCCCCCCGTGTCCTCACATGGTCTTTCCTTTGTGTGTGTCCTAGCCTCCTCTTATAAGAACAAGTCATATTGGGGGTGCCTGGGTTGCTCAGTCATTGAGCATGGGACTCTTGGTTTCAGCTCAGGTCATGATCTCAAGGTTGTGAGGTAGAGCCCCACATCAGGCTCCATGCTCTGCACGGAGTCTCGTTGAGATTCTTCCCCATCCATGCTCCTACCCTGACTGGCGCTCTCTCTAAAATAAAATGAATAAATAAAATCTTAAAAAAAAGAACAAATCATCCTGGATTAGAACCCACCCAAATGACCTCATTTAACCTTAATTACCTCCTTAAAAACTCTATCTCCAAATACATTCACATTCTGAGGTACTCAGCGTTAGAACTTCAACATATGAATTGTGCAAGGACACAATTTAACCCATAGCACTCCATCCTCTGGTTCTTCCAAAATTCATGTCCTCACATGCAAAATATATTCATTCACCTTATCCCAACAGCCACAGAAGTCTTAACCTA